AACTGCTGAAATTAAATACACTTCTTATAAAGCACCAGGAGGAAATTAAAAGGTGTTGGACATTTCCAAAGAAGTGATTGTGTGGGACAGCTGTGCAAATGGGCACAAATTTGCTTTGGAGTGACTAGAATCTTAGATTTAAACTTAATCCTGGGCATTCTTGGGCCTGGATTTGTCCAGCTATTCAAATGTGAACCTCAGATTTCCAGCAGCTCATGGTGAGCCCATAATTTACTCCTTGAAGGGGTAATTTACTCCCTGAGGAAGTATGCAACAACAACAATACCAAATTACATTTGTATAGTGCCTTTCATGTAAAATCACTGGACAGTCAGGGATCTGTATCGGAGCTGGTAGCTGCGATCAGGAGGTGTGGAGGGCAGAGAGGGTAGGAGTAGGAGGGTGACCAAAGCCACAGTCAAAGAGGAAGATCTTGAGACAGGGACCGTAAGAGGGTAATACAGGCTATTCGGCTATGCAGTATATGAGTGTATGCCGGGTACACAGGTTATGAGGGTGTGCAGGGTATTCCGGGTATGAGGGTATGCGGGTATGCAGCGTATGAGGGTGTGCAGGGTATGAGGGTATGAGGGTATGCGGGTATGCAGCGTATGAGGGTGTGCAGGGTATGAGGAGATGCAGGGTATGAGGGTATGCAGGGTATGAGGGTATGAGGGTGTGCAGGGTATGAGGGTGTCCAGGGTATGAGGGTATGCAGGGTATGAGGGTGTGCAGGGTATGAGGGTGTGCAGTGTATGAGGGTGTGCAGGATATGAAGGTGTGCAGGGTATGAGGGTATGCGGGTATGCAGGGTATTAAGGTATGCAGGGTATGAGGGTGTGCAGGATGAAGCCTGACTCTGACTAGGGCAGTCACCTTCAGTGGGCTGTTTGCAACGGCAAGAGTAAATGGAAAACAAAGCATGGTTTCAGTGCTTGCCGTTAACATTTACAAGCCAGTAATAACGTTTTTCCCTCTGGTGGTTCATGTTGGCTCTGATGTAACGGAATTCCGGAGTAACGGGAACAGGCATTAAATCTCTGGGAAATCATGGATCACTGGATTGTCTTTTTTATGTGAATATGATAGGGATTAAATTTAGCTTTTCCTCAGACATTACAGCAAATTGATTTTTCTAGTATTGTTTTAGGCTCTTATCACGGAAAGATAAAGCCCCAGGCAGCAGGCCATTACCCTAAGAGGCTTTGAACTGCACATTTACAAACTCATTTAGAGAGATTCTCACAGTTTGAGACAGTCCCCAGTAATCTGTCCATTGTGGGATGAAGTAACAAAATAAATATTGATACAGATTTATTGTGATTTAAATTCACTTTCACCTCAAGTCTTTGAAGCCTGCAGTAGGCTCTGCTAGGGATTCCCAGTGCCACTATTTCATTCTCTAGCTTCCCCTTGGCAAAAACATAGCAGTTTTACAGTAGGGTTTGGAAATGTGATTATAGTTCTATATTTTGTGATTTACTCCCTCTGACCTCCCCTGTCCTGGGGTATGGAGAAAAAATAGGGAAATGTGATGAAAAGATTTGACATGAACTAACAAACTTTGTACAGGGAAGTAACCAGCAGCAAAGTAGTGTTCTGTGTCACACCTCCATGTCCCTATAAGAAATGGTCTCCAAATCGGACAGGTCTGGTGGCAGAATGACAGACAGTGGGAGACAAGAGTATATTAATTAGTAGCTTGATTATCTCTGTTCCAAAACAACAACAACAACAAAATTACATTTATAGAGCGCCTTTCACGTCGGGAGGACATCCCAAAGCGCTGGGACATACCAGTCTTCACCCCATGCAGGGGTGAAGACTGGTATGAATGAGTGGAAAAAAATAATATAATAATCTTTGCGTTTCTACCATAACATCAAAATATCAAAAGAGATTGCTTTAAAGTATAGTAACTGTTATTTGCAGGAAAATATGGCAGAGACAATTTATGCACATAACCCCACAAAGTGGGTGTAAACTGGTTGCAAAGGTAGGGGCGTTAGGGCATTAAGTGATTTGTGGACGAGTACCTTGAAATCAATCTGTTCTATGACAAGGAGCCAATGGACCCAGACATACGATTGCTACTAAACGGAATAAAGCTGATACCTATAAACAAGGTGAGAAATGAGCAGAATTAGAAATAAAACACAGCAGCTTGCTCTGTATCCTCTATTTATATCCCACTTATGAGCAGAAGGTCCAGGCACTACATCATAGGGTTTTCCCTGTGACAGGATGGGAGCGCTGGCCGGAGGCCGCCCAGTACGTCACTGAGAGCCACTATCTGTTGTTGCATTTCCTCCCCACACTCGCCCACATCCTGCTCTCTTTGCTCTGCGAGTCTCTTCTGTGACCTTTACTCTGGACTATTCCCCATGGTATTTAACCTGCAAGAATCATGTTGGTAAGAGCTAATCCTTAGGTTAAACAATTCTCACATCACGTTCCCACTGCCAGTGATTCACAATCTGATCAGGTCAACTTAGAGAGAGCATTTATTTTGACCAAAAATACTACCAACAGGCTTGAGTTTTGTGCATATTCCTATGTTTTGTTCCACATTTGCCTAATGACCAGACAAGAAATTTTCCTCCCTTCAATCTGGGTTGGATTTGAACTTCACTCCCAGAAGCAAAAGGTTACTGATATAACTCATTGCACCACCCAGTCCATGTTCTTTGGATTTTTCTTTCCTCACGTTCAATATTCCCCACTAGTGGTTAATACACTGACATACTGGGCGACAGAAGTGTTGAACAGATTTAACAGAGACTATGTTTGAGGCTAGTTTAAAACTGAATGAAAGTACTGTACCTTACTCTCAGGTTGACTAATGGTTATACCCGTGGCAGTGCAAAGCTGCTGCAGGGCAGACATGGAGGGGACAGTGGGAATTGCACATAAAGTGCCACATAAGTGACTTGTAAGCAAAATGGAAGCCCACGGTATTAAAGGGACAGTGGCGGCGGATACAGAACTGTCTGGGAGACAGAAAGCAGAGAGTGGTGGTGAACGGTTGTTTTTCTGACTGGAGGGAAGTGCGGTGGTGTCCCCCCGGGGTCGGTATTAAGACCACTGCTGTTTGTGATCTATATAAATGACCTGGACTTGGGTATAGGGAGCACAATTTCCAAGTTTGCAGATGACACTAAGTTAGGAAAAATAGTAAACAGTGAGGAGGACAGTAACAGACTGTAAGAGGACACAGACAGACTGGTAACGTGGGCCGACATGCGGCCGAAGAAGTTTAATGTGGAGAAATGCAAAGTGATGCATTTTGAGAGGAAGAATGAGAGGCAATATACGCTGATGGGACAATCTTACAGGGGGTGAAGGGACAGAGAGACCTGGGGGTCATATAGTAAATGTTTGAAGGTGGCCGGACAGGCAGATAGAGCTGTTAAAAAAGCATATGGGACACTAGGCTTTATAAATAGGGCATAGAATACACAAGTCAGGAAGTTATGATGAACCTTTATATAAAACACAGGTTAGGCCTCAGCGAGAGACTGTGTTCAGTCCTGGGCCCCACACTTTATGAAGGATATCAAGGCATTGGAGAGGGTGCAATGGAGATTGATGAGGATGGTACCAGGAATGAGGGCCTTCAGTTATCAGGAGAGGCGAGAGAAGCTCGGATTATTCTCCTTGGAGCAAAGAAGGTTAAGAGGAGACTTAATAGAAGTTTTCAAAATTATGAAGGGATTCAATAGGGTGAACAAGGAGAAACTATTCCCACTGGCGAGTGGGTCAGTAACCCGAGGACACCGATTTAAAATAGTTGTTGAAAGAAACTGAGGGGAGGTGAGGAGAAATGCTTTCACACAGCGAGTTGTTTGGATCTGGAATACATTGCCTGAAAGGCTGATGGAAGCCGATTCGATAACTATTAAGAGAGAAGTAGATAATTATTTGGGGAGGATAAGTTTGCAGGGCTAAGGGGAGAGAGCAGGGTAGTGGGGTTGATCAGGGTTAAGGGGAGAGCGCGGGGGAGGGGGTTAGGCCTCCTTCTGTGTAATATAATTCTATGATTCTGTGATAACCAAGTGATGTTGTGCGTGTGTGTGAGCAAACTAGGACATTAAAGGGTGTGTGAAACAACAGCAGGATATATGTGCATCCTCCACGGGGAGGGAACCAGCAATTCACAAATGGACAGAGCCCACTGAGGAAATGAGACTTGTAGGTCAATGAAGCTGCATCAGTTTCAACCAGGTGTAAAGATTCAAGTCTCCACCACTGATGAAAAATGGTCTTATTGTTTCAACACTCCTCTTGTGCACCCTTACTGATGGAGCACAGTTAAAATCAGAACAATATATAATGTACAGGAAAAGTCTGCTTATGATTTGGGCGTGCTGGATAATGCAATGTATTATGCACTGTGTTTATATACTGTATTGTGATATTTGCAGTGAAGTCCAGTTCAAACTCATCCTTTGACGTTCAAGATTATTACAGTATAAGTTATTTCAGTGTTTCAAATTAGAATTGAGAGGGTGGGTAGAAGGATAATCCCAGTCTGGGCAGCAGAATAAACAAAGCAAATTAAATAATATGCCTCAATGAATTACTGTCCAAATGTAAGAGAGTTCAACAAACACTTTATTTTCTTTTGGAGAAGAAAGGGACATCAACTGGGCAGATTCACCGGGTATGCCTCTAAATGGGCAAAAAAGAAGTCAGAATAATTTTTTCCAAGCAAAGGGTTATCAAAATATACAATACTTTGGCACACGTGGGTAGTGAGAGACCGTAACAAAGCATTGGAAGAATATAAATGGATACAGGGAACGATTTGGGATTACAGTTAGTAGCTTCAATGTTTGAGATACATAGATACATAGATAACAAAGAGCGTAATAAAAGTCCAGTGATCCAATCACATTTTTGCAGTTAAAAAGATCACTAAAAATCAAAAAAATCTGAAAAAGTAAAATAAAAGTCAAGATTATCCATCAAAAAATTTAAATTAATCAAAACTGGCAAACCTACCTCTAATGTCCCTCAGGGCTCTGTCCTCGGTCCCCTCCTCTTCACCCTCTATGTGCTCCCCCTGTGGTGACATCATCCACAGACATGGGGTTAACTTCCACATGTATGCGGATGACACCCAACTCTACCTTTCCTCCTCTACCCTCAACTCCACGGCCACCAATGTCCTGACAGCTGTCTGTCCGACATCGAGTCCTGGACGAGAGACAACTTTCTTCAGCTCAACGTACGCAAAACTGAGGCCCTCCTGATTGGCTCACGTCAGCACCTCCACACCTCAGGCACTGACACCATCAGCATCCAAGGCCGCACTCTCCACCTCTCAAAGCCATCAGGAACCTTGGGGTTCTGTTCGACCCTGAGCTGTCCTTTCTCCCTCATATCCGCACCACAACTGGCACCGCCTTCCATCACCTCCGGAATGTCGCCAGACTACGGAACTACCTCACCCCTCACGCGGCTGAAACCCTGGTCCACGCCTTTATCACCTCAAGGCTGGACTATGGGAACTCTCTCCTCGCCGGCCTTCCCGGCCCTCCCTCCACACTGCAGGTCATTCAGAACTCTGCAGCTCGTGTACTGTCCCGCACCAGGCTTCGGGACCACATCACTCCCACCCTCGCCCTCACCCTCACCTTCGCCCTCACCCTCACCCTCGCCCTCGCCCTCGCTCGCCTCCACTGCTCCCCATCCCCCAGAGGATCGAATTCAAGATCCTCATCCTCACCTACAAGGCCATTCACGGCCTCGCTCCCTCCCACCTTTCCGACCTACTATCCTCCTATCTACCTGCCCGTACCCTCCATTCCTCTGGCTCCGGTCTGCTCCACATCCCCCGCCCCAACCGCCCTACCATCAGTGGCCGGGCCTTCAGTCTCTCAGCCCCGAGGCTCTGGAACTCTATCCCCCAGTGCCTTCGCCGCTTCCTCCCTCTCCTCCTTCAAGGCCAGTCTCAAGACCTTTCTCTTTGACCTTCAGCCTTCAGCTCTGCTCTCGACTCTCTTCCCCCTCCTCGCTCCCTCCCTTCCCTCCCCTCACCCTGACCATTTCCCCGCTCCTCGCTCCCTCCCTCCCCTCCCCTCACCCTGACCATTTCCCCCTTCCTCGCTCCCTCCCTTCCCTCCCCTCACCCTGACCATTCCCCCCTCCTCGCCCCTCCCTTCCCTCCCCTCACCCTGACCATTTCCCCCTCCTCGCTCCCTCCCTTCCCTCCCCTCACCCTGACCATTTCCCCCCTGCTCGGGTCCTGACCCAACTGTACAGCGCCCTGGGACGTCCTCCCGACGTGAAAGGCGCTCAATAAATGGAATCTTGTTGTAATAGTTTATTGCAAGATAGCTGGTGCTGTTCTGAAGATACCACTAGGAGGCGCCAACGAGCAGAGCTGGGTGGGAATGCCGGGCATCGTCTGCTGCTGTCGGTTTTCATCACTTAGTTATAATAATAATCCTGGCATTTGATATAGCGCCTTATCATGTATTCGAGACGTCTCAACATTTCACAAAATATACTGTATAGTGAATTGATTGTACATTTTGTGGACAAAACGCACAGTGTCCCATAAACAGTGACCAAATTATTATTATTATTATTATTATTTTCTTTTGAAGAAATTGTTACCCCCAGAAAAGCAATCCATCAATTGACTAACAACCGGATTCCTAATTACTGCTAGGTAAACAGAAGTGTGTGGAGTAAGGAAACTTGCCCAACATTTCGCCCTGTCTGGGAATCAAAGCCAGGTCCTCTCGCTTGCGAGGCAAGTGCTGTAACTACTAAACTACACGACTCCACTAGTGGCTACTTACTGTACATCAGGTCCCGTGTGCAGGATCAGTATGAAATGCTAGCTAATTGCATTCTGATTTTGGTAATAGTGGGCTGATAAAATCTTTTAAATATTATCCAGCGCCAATTATTAACGCAAGCTACTTTTTGTTGTGTTTATATATGTTAACGCCCATTCTATTTAACAAAGAGATAAGTAATTTGAGTCACCAACCAGCACAATGATAGATCCCTCTGTGACACATTTGCTTCCTTTACAATGTTAAAAAATACAAATATGTCAGACAATGCACCGGGATTTAATGCTCTTTCCAGACAAAGGGAAATGTCCATGTGTTGGTAGAATACATATGTGAAAACTCTCAGTCTGGTCTGGATACCCTTAAGCATGGTGATGGGTTTCTGCATTTGTCAGAAACAAAATGTTTCTGACCAAAAACAAAATGTAATGCTCTGCACCTAAATTGCTGAAGTCCCTATGAATGAAGTGATTCACAAGGTGACTGAAAATTGCTGTTCATCTTGAACTAATAGTTCTAATCTAAACAGTTTCTCTGCCTCTGCTTTTCCTGCTTTGAAGTGCCCATTCTCATGGTAGGATATTAGAGGTCCCCTCTTAGCCATCTACAAGTTTACCTAATCCCTCCGGACCCTGATACTGACATACCCAGATTTCATCTGAGTTATTGCAATAATACAGACTGCATCAATCCCCTTAAGTGTACCCAATGCACTCTATCTGGATAATGCTACACTATGATGATTATTTCAGAGCAATTTTCTGATGAAGGATGACTTTTCAGACCATGTCAATCCGATTTTCTTCTACTTACGCTACTCTAGAACGAGATGGCTTAAGTTATTAAACTGAGCAGTTTTAAACCCTTCTGTTCAGAGAGAAAAACACTGATTGAATCAGATTACTGGTATTTTTATCACAAAACCATCCTGATTTTCTTGCAGGATGAGTGGCTTCTGAGTCCTGTGGTTTCCATGTACTAAAGAACAGCATTACAAAGCAGGGACTAGATGGAGTTTTACCTGGAGATAGATCCTGTGACTTTGAATTTGATTATATTGGTGGCTAGTTATGTGATTCTCCTCTTGGTCTTTCTGATTTCATGTGTACTGTACGACTGCCGAGGAAAGGATCCTAGTAAGGAATACGCTCCTGACACACAACCCCCTGCTCAGTCCCCTATCCGACTGGTGGTAATGCAAAATACTGTGGAAACACGCTGTGGCAGGGGTGCCCCTGCCAGCATGGAGTGTAAGAAGGAACTGCCAGGAGCACGGAGCACTGTGGTGTAGAGACTTTCAGTGCTCATTTCCTTTGTATTTCAGCTGAACAAACCTGGAGGTGAGTGTGCAAATGTTTCTATCGTAGTAACAATTTTATCTGCTTCAAAGTTAGCATCATTCATTAAACGATGGACTGATTTCTGTGTCACAACAGGTGTGATTTTTACATAGTCTCTAAAGCAACAAAAGGGTTGTGGAAATCCATCAGGAGTGGAACACTGGGAATAGAGTAACCTTATAGTGTCAAATATATAGGAGCCCAATCAAGACAAGGTACTGGAGGTAAAGGGTGGTGTTGACATATGAAAGGTGCAGATGGCTTGAATGATTCTTCATTAAGGAGACATTATACAAGATTTGGGTAACTGGATGATACGAACATTAAGTGCAATATTCGCCTAAAAGTATCCTACATTTTACTGTTCATTGTTAAATGCTGAAACTTGATGCATACACAAGCAGTACAGAGATTGAAGATTTTAGCTGTTCCCTGTGTACTTATGTTTGAATGGAATTGTCCTTCCTGGGGGAATGTGGTGTCACAGGTGTAAATTAGATGCATTGTAGTTAGCCTTTCCTGTAGGGTCAAGGTATTGGGATCTGAATAGCATATTATTGACTTTTATGATTTTTTGTCTGTCTTGTAGGTGCCTCACTGGATGTCCTGAATCTCTTTAGTAGTCTGTGAAGAATCTCAATGTCCTCAAGGCCTTTCTTCCTGATTCTGTAATGTCATTCAGATATAAATCTCAAACAATGGAACAATCCATGTCCTCCTCCAAATCTTCTGAGACATCTTACCACTGCGATAAAATTATGGGTCTCTGTCTAAAGATTCAAAGTGAATCAGGACATAAATTACCTTTGCAGATATTAACATTGGATTTCTCAAACTTCAGACTGCGCCTTACCTAAGGAAGTTAGTTTCAAAAACTGTCATAAAATGTTGGCTTTTACCTCTGGTTTTGATACCTTCTGGAGTAAAGACATGGATTGCAATATTCAATGTACATGGTGATTGAAAGTCATACCATATATGGTATATGGTTGGCACTCTACAGCAAATGATAAATAGAATATATAATCATAAAAGTATAACTCAGTAAATTCCAAGAATCAATCAATTAATGTTGGCAATTTACTTTGTATGTTAAAATCAGCATATCAGTCTTTACTGAGGTGTCACATTTCCATCTACAACTTTAACATCCCAATCATTTGTTATAAGGCAAGCAAGTCCAAAGTAATCCAATACATTGTGGAGAATTGATCAGCCTAGCTGCTGCATCATTGAGACGAGCCAAAGTCCCTTTGGGGAGGATGGTCTTAGCTGGACAAATTCAGTCAAGTGTATTTTGTACAACATAATTCCAATTCTGTTAATTTATATTGTGTTGTTTTTAAATAAATGTTGCTTCCATGTCGTTGAGTTTCTCCTTTCCCATGTCACTCTCTGCTCCTAGGCCCGGCTCATTGTCTGTTCATTGGAAAGCATATGATCATAACCAGGACTGACTCTCCTGCTGAGAACAGTTGTCTCTGGGTTTGGCTGCCTCTTACTGGAGTGACCAGGGCTGGGAATTTCCCTTCTTCCATCACCAACTCACTTTGTGGCTGTACCACCGGTGTCTTGTCGGGGTTTCAGTTCCTTCACTGAATATAAAGGCATTCCTATAGAAGTGAATTTCTGGTGAGATAGGCAGCAATAAGAAGATGCCCATGTAACTTTCATAATCAACTTTGCTTTGGTAGATAGATGTAACATTCAAGGGCTTCTTGCCTGAATAACTGTGTTATAATTTTAAAAAGTTTCAGGCAGAATCTTCAGCAATCTTCTCCATACATTCTCATTTATTCAGATTTGAAATAAATTGTTCAGAGATTTGTACTGGAGATGTAAATTTCATTTTTATTGTTTCTTTGAGTTGCTATATGAAATGTACAGGTTTGTTCATTACCTTCTTGCTCTCAGCAGTGGTAGATACAGTTTCCACATACTGAAAGGTGAGTGTCAGCAGGATATATGCCCACAGCCAACTCAAATCTTGACCTTACCTTTCAGTAGGAGCCTCTGGATACTGTTCAGGCCCAGGAACTCCAGCTGATTTTTCCATCTTAATGTAGGTATTTGGGCAATTGTAGTCCTAAATTCCATTTTAGAAGAGACCAGCTAATTCAGCACAGAGTGTGACCTATCTGGTCTGCATTGACCACCATTATATTAGGTACTGCAATTACCAACTCAGTTATTAGGAAGCCATAAAGAACATTTCTGATTCCATTCTCTTCTTTGAAACTTGTGCCCAAACATTGGGCAATACCTGAGATGCAACAAAAAGCATAGACAAAGTGGAAGCAGAACATATGTGACCCGACAATAACTCACATTTATCTAGTCCCTTTCCCCAGGATAACATCTTGTTTTTCACAGACCCTCAAAGTATTTTCACTGCCACATGGAGGATAAACATGGACTCTGTTCTCTGCATTTTATACAAGGAACAGAAAGATAATGATAATATAAGTAAAGATTGCTTCAAAATATTGGTAACTAATTAATCAATAATAAAGCAACTAAATGTCAATACAAAAAGGATATTGGAGAAATCGAGAAGATACAGAGACTGGACTATGAGGAGTGACTAAGTAAATTGGGCATGTTCACACTGGAAAAGAGAAGATTGAGGCTGTCTTTAACATTCTAAAGGGGACAAACAATATAGATCATGACGGGCTGTTTCAACTTGTCCTGAAGAGTAAAACCAGAGGCCACGGCCTGCGATTGAAAGGGGTAAATTCAGAAGAAATCTTCACAAACACTATCTTAGTGAGTGAATAGTGAACCTGTGGCTCTCGAGGAAGACGGTTGAAGCAGGAAGTGTTGATTCTTTCAAACACAGATTAGATAGTTTTCTTTTAGGAAATAACATTATGGGATATAGACAGAGGGAGTTTGGGACATATGTGCAGCGACCACCAGGAAGGTGGAAGGCGAATTAGATGGACCTTGGTCTTTTTTAGTCCAGTATTTCTTATGTTCTTATGTAAGAAAGTTACTAGCATTGTATCGGCACTCGCAGAAATGGTAAAGCCTCTAGGAACGGATCACTTAGTATCAATACTACTTTCACAAGGACATTCCACAGTTCATAAACACCTCGCAGCTTGAAATTGTACCACTTTAAAACAAAGTTACCACCTATCATTAGGTGAGTGACATTTATTACAATCTCACAATAAACATCCATATTTACTTTTGACCTTTTGAGGTCTGATTGAATACAAAGGTAACAGATCATGGTTATCGGTGAGCATTCTCTTTCACTGTGACCTGAAGACAGACACCCTGAGCTTCTCTTGAATCGTCGTCATGAAAACTATAAATACTCTGGGGATTACAGGAGGCACATTCAACTTCACCTTCACCAGCACAACATCCCAAGAGCAATTTTCAATCCTGCACACATGCTTATCCCATTATGTATACGAACGTCACAGGAAGAGGTGGGGGGAATATTTGTGTTACAGTAATAATTGTATATCAGGAAATGTTACAGTGTGGGATGTGGATTACATCAGAAAATATTACAATAAGCGGCACAGGGTATATCAGCCAGGGCTGGATTCAAACAGAGGTGAAAGTTTGGTCTTATCCCACAGTAGGACTCGTACTGTGCATCTGCCTGATGTCCAACACTTACTGCTTCAATAGTCACTTCAAGTGTTTTCACATAGGACGCCTATTTAACCTGAACTGAGATTCAATGCTTACCTTGTACAATACTCTCTCCCCATAGCCCTGATCAACCCCACTCCCACCGCTCTCTCCCCATAGCCCTGATCAACCCCACTCCCCCGCTCTCTCCCCATAGCCCTGATCAACCCCACTCCCCCGCTCTCTCCCCATAGCCCTGATCAACCCCACTCCCCCGCTCTCTCCCCATAGCCCTGATCAACCCCACTCCCCCGCTCTCTCCCCATAGCCCTGATCAACCCCACTCCCCCGCTCTCTCCCCATAGCCCTGATCAACCCCACTCCCCCGCTCTCTCCCCATAGCCCTGATCAACCCCACTCCCCAGCTCTCTCCCCGTAGCCCTGATCAACCCCACTCCCACCTGATCAACCCCACTCCCACCGCTCTCTCCCCATAGCCCTGATCAACCCCACTCCCACCGCTCTCTCCCCATAGCCCTGATCAACCCCACTCCCCAGCTCTCTCCCCATAGCCCTGATCAACCCCACTCCCCCACTCTCTCCCCATAGCCCTGATCAACCCCACTCCCCCGTTCTCTCCCCATAGCCCTGCAAAAATGTCCTCCCCAAATAATTATCTACTTCTCTTTCAAAAGTTGTTATTGAATCGGCTTCCACCAGCCTTTCAGGCAATGCATTCCAAATCCCAACAACTCGCTGTGTTAAAAAAAAATTCCTCACCTCCCCTCTGTTTCTTTCAACAACTATTTGAAATCGGTGTCCTCGGGTTACCAATCCACCCACTAGGGGAAATGGTTTCTCCTTGTTCACCCTATCGAATCCCCTCACAATTTTGAAAACTTGTGTTAAGTCTCCTTAACTTAACTTTCACTGCTCCAAGGAGAATAATCCTCGCTTCTCTAGCCTCCCTGATAACTGAAACCCCTTATTCCTAGTACCAATCTGGTAAACCTCCATTCCACCCTCTCCAATGTCTTTGACATCTTTCCTAATGTGGGGCCCAGAACTGAACACAGTCTCTAGCTGTGGCCTAATCAGTCTTTTAACAGCTTTATCTACCTGTCCTGCAACCTTCAAAGATTTACTTATATGAAATCTTTGATCTCTTGTATTGGTCCCAATACCGACCCTGGGGGGACACCACTGCACTTCCTTCCAGTCAGATAAACAACCATTCACCACCACTCTCTGCTTTCTGCCTCCCAGACAGTTCTGTATCCGTTGCCACTGTCCCTTTAATACCGTGGGCTTCTATTTTGCTACAAGTCTCTTATGTGGCACTTTATCAAACGCTTTTGAAAATCCATATAAACTACATCAATGCACAACCTTCACCCACCCTCTCCGTTACTTCATCAAAAAACTCTATCAGGTTTGTTAGACACAATTTGCCTTTAACAAATCCATGTCCCACACCAGGCTTCGCGATCACATCACTCCCACCCTCGCTCGCCTCCACTGGCTCCCCATCCCCCAGAGGATCAAATTCAAGATGCTCACCCTCACCTACAAGGCCATTCACGGCCTCGCTCCCTCCTACCTTTCCGACCTACTATCCCCCTACTTACCTGCCCGTACCCTCCGTTCCTCTGGCTCCGGTCTGCTCCACATCCCCCGCCCCAACCGCCCTACTATTGGTGGTCGGGCCTTCAGCCTCTCAGCCCCGAGGCTCTGGAACTCTATCCCCCAGTGCCTTCGCCGCTTCCTCCCTTTCTTCCTTCAAGGCCGGTCTCAAGACCTTTCTCTTTGACCGTGCCTTCAACTCCCCTCTCGATTCTCTACCCTCTCCTCGCTCCCTCCCTTCCCTCTCCTCACCCTGACCATTTCCCCCTGCTCAGGTCCTGACCCAACTGTACAGCGCCTTGGGACGTCCTTCCGACGTGAAAGGCGCTCAATAAATGGAATCTTGTTGTTGTTGTTGTTGTTGTCTGTCCTTTATTAACCCATATTTTTCTAAGTGAAAATTAATTTTGCCCCGGATTATAATCTCCAGAAGTTTCCCCGTTACTGACGTTAGGCTGACTGGCCTGTAGCTCCCGGGTTTATCCTTCTGCCCCTTTTTGTACAGGAGAGCAACGTTTGCAACCCTCCAGTCCTCTGGCACCAACCCCGGTGTCCAAGGAGGAGTGAAAGATTGTGACCAGAGCCTCTGCTATTTCCACCCTTAATTCCCTCAGTAACCTAGGATGCATTCCGGACCGGGTGACTTACCTACCTT